CCATCAAACACTCCCCAGGGACAGGGACAGCACGGGGTTAGATACAGGGTAAAGCTCCCTCTACACTGTCCCCCATCAAACACTCCCCAGGGACAGGGACAGCATGGGATTAGATACAGAGTAAAGCTCCCTCTACACTGTCCCCATCAAACACTCCCCAGGACAGGGACAGCACGGGGTTAGATACAGAGTAAAGCTCCCTCTACACTGTCCCCAGGACAGGGACAGCACGGGGTTAGATACAGAGTAAAGCTCCTACTACACTGTCCCCAGGACAGGGACAGCACGGGGTTAGATACACACTGAAGTGTTGAATTCCTACAGCTGGGGATGGCATGTCTGTACAGTGTGCTGGCGAAGTCTCTCAGCCTCACCTAACCTCACTCACTGTTACTTGTGCCCCTTAGGGAGGAGGAACAAGATCTCGAGAGGAGGTTTGAGCTGCTCAACCGGGAGTTACGGGCAATATTGGGCATCGAAGGTAGGATATCGCTAGCCCACTGTGAAGGAACAATAACCTTCGATATCTGTAGTAGATACATAAATTGCAGCAGATACATGGGAACACCACCCCCTGCAAGTTCCCCTCCGAGCCACTCCCCATCCCGACTCGGAAATATATCGGCCGTTCCTTCAATGTCGCTGGGTCAGAATCCTGCAATTCCCTCCCTAAGGGGCATTGTGGGTCTATCTACAGCACACGGAGTGCTGCGCTTCAAGGAGGCAGCTCACCCCCACCTTCTCAAGGGGCAGCTAGGGACAGGGGCAATAAATGCTGGGCCCAGCCTGCGACGCCCACGTCCCATGAGTGAATAAAAATAAAAACTGTGAAACGCTGCCTGCTGGTCTCATCAAACTGTACACAACGCTTGTAAACTTTACTGCTCTTCAACTCAGATTCACAGGAGAAAAGTCATAGCAGGCTTCCTGCTTTTTGAATTGTTTCCTGAGCTTATGTGCAAGCTTCCTGTGTTCATTGTACCAGTGCAGTCAAATGTCTTGGAATCTCAAGGCTGAAAAGATGCTCATGAACCTCGGAACATTGTCAAACATCCAAAACTAGCATGGTCTGGTAGAGAGTAACAGCTCTACAGTGGATCTCATATTGATATACACTGCCATAGAGAGACAAAAAGAAAATTACTGATGTATCCCATCCCATTCATGGGATGTGGGCGTCGCTGTCTGGGCCACCTTTATTTCCCCGTCCCTAGATGCCCCTTGAGGTGTTGGGGAGCTGCCTTCTTGAACCACTGCAGTCTATGTGCTGTGGGTAGACCCACAATGCCATAGGGTCATAGAAACAAACAGAGTGGACACAGACCCTTCGATCCAACCAGTCCGTGGCCGACCATAATCCCAAACTAAACCAGTCCCACCTGCCTGCACTTGGCACATATCCCTCCAAACATTTCTTATTTATATACCTATTTAAATGCCTTTGAAATGTGGTAACTGTACCCGCATCCACCACTTCCTCGGGAAGTTCATTCCACACACGAACCACCCTCTGTGTAAAACAATTGCCCCATATTTCTTTTTTTAAATCTCTCTCCTCTCACTTTAAAAAATATCCCCCCTAGTCTTGAAATTCTGCACCCTAGGGAAAAGACACATCCCATTCACCTTCTCAATACGCCTCATTATTTTATAAACCTTTACAAGGTCACTCCTCAACCTCCTGCGTTCCAGTGAAAAAAGGCCCAGCCTCTCCTTCTAACTCAAACCCTCCATTCCTGGCAACATCCTGGTAAATCTCTTCTGAACCCTCTCACTGAGATATATTCATATGCATCTTCTTTTAATGGGAAAACAGAGACTGATCATACAAAAGAAGAATTTAAAAAACAACCAATGTAAGTTCTATATGACAGTTAGAATGATCTCAAAACATGTGGCAAAACAAAATCCCAATCTTTTTCCTGACACTATCCATTACAGAGACTCAAGTCCAGTGAAATTATATCCCAAGATTCCACTTAACTGACAGTTTCCTTGCAATGAGCAATATAGAACATTAATGAGACATTTCTAAATCTGCTAACATTAATTTTTCACAAATCCGAGAGCTTAAACTTTCTCAGTTCTAATAACCTGTAGAGTTGTAACCAAACTCCCCTGGTTTGGAAACTACAATCTAAACCCTTCTACTGAAATAACTTATTCATTCATCTATCCTGAATCGTCCTTCTAAAGACAGAAACTTAAAGTGGCTTCTAAACTCAACACTGGTATTTTCTGAACCGAACTGCAAGGTCTGCTTCAGAGCTGCATTTAAAGAAAAAACTTGCTTATCTGAGATCGAACTGAAAACAAAACTAATGCTCATTCTACCAGTCATAAACATAACAGTATAAACATCTTCCCATTAACACCACAGAGGTTTGCAGACACCCGCTCTCTGACACATACTGGATTAGCTCACTGTTCCAGAAGGACTTTCTGACCTTGATTTTATTTTTTACCAAAAACAAAACCCTTCACAGATGGAAACAACACCCATATGCCATTATTTAGAAATCCAAACTCCAAAAATGGTATGAATATACAGTACAAATTAGATACTTTTCATTACATTACATAGCACTGTGTGCTAACATCGACAGAGTGACGCAGTACACAGATGGACACTGACAACACATATACTGCCGCGACTGACTGATGCCGTGGGGGCCATTTGTGGGTGCCATTGAGACCTTTTTTTTAAAAGCAGTGGAAGCACATAACGCTATCAATGACCACCAGCAATCGTGGGCTTGTTTTATCTCCTATTACGACCCCAAAACCGGAGCGGCACCCCAACCGCATTCCCGCCCGCACCGACTTTCCATTCTGCCCGAAACTGGCCCGGTCTCGCTTGTGCTGCTGTCTCCATTTCTCTGGCAGGAGATCACGTTCATATTCCGGAACGTTCCTGGCCAAAGCCGCAGTGGTGCTTGAACGGAGCCGTCCATCCTCTTGGGTGGGGAGGATGCTGAAGACACCATGTCCTCCATTGGTAGAGAAGGCGCTGTCCTTTGGCCCTGTAGTTCTCCCTCGAACGTTGCTTCTAAAAACCAAAAAGACAGATGCTCTGGCTCGCAAGGCCAACTTGGCGAGTTTGCTGGGCACAGTCTGAGTGTCGCCGTCCCCACCTGAAAACGGCGACAAGTCTTCGGAAACGGCTAAGCGTCCACCTTGAGTTTCGGGACATCCTAGGGTCACGGCAGGCGCTAGAGGAATGTAACCTCCTCTCTCTCTTCCTCACACAGATTGGAAGAAGACAGACGCACAGCAGCGCCGAGAGCGGCTGTTACTGGAGGAACTGGTCTCTCTGGTCAACAAGAGGGACAGCCTCGTTCGGGACCTGGATGCAAAGGAGAGATTGTGAGTTTAACGGAATCCCTGGCGAAGGGAACTGCAGCTAGCCCTGGGACGCAAACGAAAAAGCGTCTTAGTTTCCCCCCTTGCCCTTTCGAGCATTTTGCTTGCGAGGTCTGACAGATGGCCTGGAGAGGTGGGATGATTTAACAGCGCATGGTTCATAAGTTGGGAGGAGTGGGGCATCAGGAGCCAGAGAGAAAGCGTTTCTGCTATGGCAGGCCAGATCAGTTAAAAGATAAAATCTGCTCGGGAACGCGGGAGAATGTGTTCACGCAGACAGTGGGGATAATGTGGAATTTGCTCCCACAGGAAGTGGTAAATCATGTAGAGCAATGGCCTGGTGGTATTATCGCTGGGCTGTTAATCTAGAGAGCCAAGTAATATTCTGGGGGACCCAGATTTGAATCCCGCCATGGCAGATGGTGGAATTTGAATTCAACAAACATCTGGAACTAACAGTCGAAAGATGACCATGAGTGTCGATTGTTGGAAAAACTCATCTGGTTCACTAATGTCCTTTAGGGAAGGAACCTGCCATCCTTATCTGGTCTGGGCCTACATGTGACTCCAGACCCACAGCAATGTGGCTGACCCTTAATTGCCGTCCGGGCAATAAATGCTGGCTTCAATCCGTGAATGAATATTAGAAAAAAAGACGCAGCTAAGCAGAAGTTGTTTAAACACGAGTGACAAAGGACTAGAAATAGGGGTTATAACTCACTCAGAGATAGTAAGAACTGCTGATGCTGGAGTCAGAGATAACACAGTGTAGAGCTGGAGGAACACAGCGGGCCAGGCAGCATCAGAGGAGCAGGAAAGCTGACGTTTCGGGTTGGGACCTTTTTCAGAAATGGGGGAGGAGGAAGGAGGCTCTGAAGTAAATAGAGAGGAGGGGGGCACGGTGATAGCAGGTAGGTAGTGGAGCGGATAGGTGGGAGAGAAGACGGACAAGTCAATGAGGCGGGAATGGGGGGGTGGCTGGTCTTGGGATGAGGTCGAGGATGGGGAGATTTTGAAGTTGGTAAAGTCCACATTGGGACCATTGGGTAGTTTTTATAGATTCTAAAGGACAGGGTAGATGCTGTAATTATGCTTCCTTTTGTGGGAGAGACTGAACGCAGAGGGCATAGTTTGAAAACAAGGCTTTAAGACAGTGATGAAGAGGCCCATTTCCTCTGAGTCTGTGCAACTCTCTTCCTCAGAGAGAGCGGTGGAAACAGGGTGATTGAATATTTCAAATGAAGAGGTAAATAGATTCTTGACTAATCAGGGAGTCCGAGGTTATCAGGGGAGAGTGAAGCTGAGGACACAGTCAGGTCAGCCATAATCATATAGGAATAGGAGTAGGCCGTTCAGCCCCTCAAGGCTGTTCTGCCATTCAATGAGATTGTGGTTGATCTGTGGCCTAACTCCATCTACCTGCCTTTGGCCCATATCCCTCATAACCTTTGCTTGACAGAAAGGTATCTATGTCAGATTTGGAATTAGCAACTGCTTCACTACCATTTGTGGAAGAGTTCCAAACCTCCGCCACCCTTTGTGTGTAGAAGTGCTTCCTGACATCTCTCCTGAATAATCTGTCCCTAATATCAGACCATGCCCCTAGTTCTCGAATCCCCAACCAGTGGAAATAGTTTATCTTTATCTATCCTGGCTTTTTCTGTTCATATCTTGAATACTTCAATCAGGTCACCCCTTAACCTTCTAAAATCTTGGGAAAACAGACCTCATTTGCATAAACTCTCCTCCTGAAGTTATGCCTGCAATCCCTGGATCATTCTGGTCTTTGTTGAACAGTGGAGCAGTTCCAATTCCAACTTGCTGCTTTGTGTGTACGTGTTGAGGAGAGAGTTTGTGTGAATAACTAACAGTGGCACAGTACAGAAGGGCCGAGTGGCCTGCTGCAGGCGAGCTGTAGCCTAGGTGCGAGTAATAACCCTGTGTTTGCTTTCTGCCTCTTCCACTCTCATCCCCCACCCCGCTTCCTACTCCCTGTTCCCCTCCCCACCCCTCGTTCCCTACCCCTAGGGCTGAGGAGGAGGATGCTCGACTAGAGCGAGGCCTGGAGCACAGGCGTCAGAAGTACAGCCGCCGGGAGAAATGCGTGATAAACTGAGAGAGAGAGAGAGAGGGAGAGAGAGAGAGAGAAAAACGGACAAGAGCTGGGGGCTGAGGTGGCCCAATGAGACCAGGCACCGTCCCAGCTGTGATAGTTTGACGCTTGACGACGCTATTTCAGTCTTCATCCCGTTGGAAGCCCGAGGCTATTCGGTTGGGAGTGCATCACTCACCAGGAGGAGAGAGAGAGTGGCGGGATGGACAGGATGGCCCGGGGATGGGAGGTGGGGTGGTGGGCTAGCGGTGCGTTGGTTGGAGTCGGACTGTTTGTTTCAGGACTTGAAAGTGGTCCCACGTTCACATCCTCGTTCCCCCCCCCCCCAAATTTTAACTTTCCCCGCTCTCCGGGCCCCCCCCCTCCATAATTGCTGCTTCCGCTCCCAACCCTTCCCACCTTGGTGAAGTCTGAAATTAGCCAGGCCTCCTGGCTGGGAAAGATGGCAGCCAAGGTGGGGGGAGGAAGGTCAAGGGGTAGAGGAGGGTGGCCTCTTGGGGAAGGAAAGGAGGAGGAGGAGGAGGAGGAGGGGGTTGATTCTATTGGCTGCTAAACTTCCCCTTTCCTGCGCAGAGAGACATCCTACCACCCGGGCTGAGGGGGCTACACATGTGGCGTTGGGCTCTGGGAGGATGGTTGGCTACAGGAGGCCTCACTGGCCAGTCCGACAAGGTGCTAGCCTACACATTTTTGCACTGCCTGTGGTTTGCAAGAGGTGACCAGGGTTGTGGAAGGTGGTGGGGGTGGGGGGGATGTTAGTGTTGAACAACCCCCCGATATAAAAGAGACGACCCTTGTAATTCCAGGTCTCTCGTTCCTTCCTTGGTTTCTCTCCCTTCTCAGACTCGATTCATTCTGTGAAGAACACTCCCCCGCCCCTCCCCAACATCGCAGTAGCCCAATGGGCTGCGCACACACTTCCACCAGTCGGTCTCCGAGTTTTGTTTCAGAATTTGGGGGGGGGGTGCCCAGTGTGTTTGTGTGGTCTTTATACTTGGGGTTAAAGGAAGTAGGATCCGCTGTGAAGGAAATTACCCTTCCTTTATGTTGTTGCACTATCTGTGATTTGCTGTTTGGAATTAAAGCCATATTGACAAAGCCCACCTCCCGTGGAATCTGTCCACCACTGAGGCACATTGTTAAAGGAACGTTATGCGGGAAATCTGAAGCAAAAACAGAACTGTGGTGCATGGTAGTGTCCCTACTCCTGGATCAGGAGGCCCAGGTCAGTGACATCTGCACGAGAAGTGTGTAATCACAGGTTGATTAGAAAAATAGGTTTTAAAAAATAAACAGAAAGCGCTGGAGAAACTCAGCAGATCTGGCACTGTCTTTGCAGAGAGGAAACAGCGTTAACGTTTCAAGTGGAGTCCCAAAGGGGACTTGAAAAATCGATGAAGCAACGGAATGTAAATGGAAGAGGAGAGATATAGACGAAACTCACGGTGTTAATAGCAGGCATTAACAACAGAGAATAGGCCAGACGCGTTGAGGAGGCGTGAAGGGAAGGGAGCTGAGACGGAGGGTTGTGTACTGAAGGCTGCAAAGCAGGGCTAGTACAAGAACGACGGCCTGAGTGGCCTTGCTTTTTGGGGCTAGGTGGGCTTAGCCTGTGTCCTGGACCTTGGGCTCCACAAGGGCGGGGCTTGCAGTCAGTGGGCGGGGGCTTGATACCCACGGGCGGGGCTTTCATTCAGTGGTGTGGTCCGTAACTAGGGGCGGGGCTTGCACTCACTGGGCGGGGTTTGATGCCCATGGGTGGGCCTATTAGCGAGGGGTGCGATCCGTTACCGGGGGCGTGGCTTGTTTCCAGGAGACGGCACCTGTAGCCATAGGGGAGGCGACGTTTAAACAGGAAGGGGCGGGCTTGTGACCAGTGGGCGGGGTTACATCAAGGACGGGATTTGTCACCAAGGTGAAGGCCCTGCAGTGAAAGGGCGGGGCCTGTTACTGAGATGGAATCAACTTAAGGGGGCGAAGCCTGTCAGGGTGTCACCCAAGATCATTATGGTCCGGACTCCAGGGGCGGGACATTACTAAAGGGCGGGGCACGCCTTGGGGCGCGGATTGATAACCAGTGGGCGGGACCTGTTATAGAGTCTCTTCAACTGGAAGCTGGAGTCGTCACCAAAGGGCGGGAGCTTTTATGGAGCCTGTCCAATTGGAAACTGGATCATCACCAGGGGGCGGAACCTGTTACGGGGCCCGTCCAATTGTAAGCCGGCTTCATCACCAGAGGGCGGGACCTGTTGGTAAGGGGCGGGGCCTGCAGTCAGCGGGCGGGCCGAGATAACCGTTGGCCATTTTCCCCGACCCCGTTCTCACAGCGAGGCCGAGCGTCACCATGGTGAGTCGGGCTCTGCCCGGAGGCCTGCGAGGCGCCGCGCCATTAGTTAATAGTGGGAGGGGGGAGAATCACTGTCCGATTGGCTTACCGCGGCAGGAACCAGGACCTTGCCTGGTCTGTGCCTTTCGACACCTGACTGACTGGAATCGTTGTTGGGCGGGGAAAGGATATGCCCAAGAATCCTGATTGGCTGTGGGGGGGGTGCGTGGAAATCCGATTGGATGGAGGGGCCCGAGTGGGCGGGGCGCTCGTGTGATTGACTGCTTGTTGTGTGTCACGTGATTTTGACGGCGCGTGTGAACAGCACGTGACTACAGAGACCTTGAGTGGATGGAACCCCGGCCAATCAGAGAGGGGTAAGCAGGCCCCGCCTAACATGGTGAGATAATATAGAGTCAATGGGCCGAAAGGTCTTCATTCTGTCTCCAGTTGAGGTTTGTTTTCCAGTGTCTGGGTATCTTAGATGATTCTGCAGTTGTGGTTGATTATTTAGAGTGTCAGTGGGTCCACTGAAGTCATCCTTTCAACGAGAACAGGTTCATTGCAACAAGCCCCTTTCATCAAAAGGCATCCATGGTGAGACTTTGGTCCATGGTAACCAGGTTCGCAACAGGCTGGGGACTCTGCACAGCCAGTCCCCACCGCTGAAGCCTTGGTACAGACCCCTTCATTTTTCTCTTGTGGTGAGACGCAGGTGGTACTACACGTTTTCGAGGACTGTTCCCAATGGAAAACCCGGAAACTAGCAGCAGGAGTAGACCATTCGGCCCTTCCAGCCTGCTCTGCCATCCAACATCATCATCCAACTGAGTCCTCTGTTCCTCCTTTCTTCCCCATATCCTTTGGTGCTTTTAATACAATGCAATTGTATACGGTACAATTATAACCTAAAATATATCGGTCTCTCTCATAAATATACTCAGTCACTTGACCTCCACAGCTTTTGGTGGTAGAGAATTCCACATATTCACTATCCTTGGAGTGAAGAAGCGATTCCTCATCTCAGTTCTAAATGTTCTATCCCATATCCTGAGACTGTGTATCCTAGATCTAGTGTGTTATAATTCCTGGTTATAATTGTATACACTTAAATCTCCCCCTCTCAGCTTCCTAGATGTGGCAGTGTAATCATCCTAAACATGGCAAGTGAAGAGCCTATTGCTGGCTTTGGGGATTCCCTTCTGTGAAGCGAAAAAATTTTGCATTCAGTAAATACTTTGTAAGACAATTATCAGACAAAATAAGAAGATGCTGTGGAGATGATAATAACAGCTGGATTTTAAGGAGCATCTTAGTGGAAGGTAGATATAGATAGCGAGAGAGATGTTTAGGGAGGGAATTCAAAACTACAGGCTCCAGGATGCTGAAGTTACAAGCAGTAAAATGAGTGGATTCTTGAGAGGCCTGAATTAGGGGAGCTCAGATTCTGGAGGGTTGTGGCACTGTAAGGAATTGCTGGTGTGGACCCAATGGGCCAAATGGCTTCACTTTGGTGGTAAACCCTTTACAATTCTGTAGCTGGCAGGTGGTGAGAGAGAAATGGAGGGAAGGAGGCCAGGGAGGGATTTTGGACACAGGTTTTAAATTTGACAGTGGGAAGGAAAGCAGACTCAGGGGTGACAGTTACCAGGGTTTGGCGAAGAATGACAGTGTGATCAATCCTGACGTAAACTCGTCAAGTGGGGAATCAGGGGATTAGCATTAGTTGGGGATTAGGATGCAGTAAGAGGAAAGTTGAGAGAGAAATTTTTGGAAGATTGAGAGAGGGCATGATTGGAGGCTAGGAGTGAGAAAAACCTTCCTGGTAGAAACGTTGGGGATCCACAGGTAATCAGTATAAGACTGTGGTGTGCATTCACAGTTCCCTCACAGAGAGCCTGCCTTGTTGGGGGACATTCAAATTGTAGCCTGGAGTTTATTCAAGGGATGAGGGCCCTGCTGGCTAGGCCAGCATTTATTGCCCATCCCAGTGGGCAGTTTAGAGTCACCCACATTGCTGTGGGTCTGGAGTCACATGTAGGCCAGCCCAGGTAAAGATGGCAGTTTCCTTCCCGAAAGGCCGTCAGATGGATTTTTTTTCCCGACAGCCGACAATGGATTCGTGGTCATCATTAGACTCTTAATTCCAGATTTTTATTGAGTTCAGATTCGACCATCTGACATGGCAGGATTAGAAGCCAGAACAATACCTGTGTCTCTGGATGTCCAGTGGTGATATCACTAGGCTGTCAGCTCCCCTATCGGGGGGTGGGAGTGAGTGGGGGTGACAGAGACTCCAACTTCCTTTACATATCACAGCCCCTCAGCAGCTGCCTCTGCGTTGGAAGGATTTAACCAGTCAATCCCCAATCTCTTCTCCGCCGTCAAGTTTGAGAGTGGAAAATGAACCCGGAGTTTCTGGCTCAGAGGCAGGGATGCTACCCACTGCACCATCAGATTCAGGATGAGTTAGTCACTAATTAACTCAGTCCGTATAGAGTCATACAGCATGGAAACAGACCCTTCGGTCCAACTCCTCTGTGACGACCTGATATCCCAATCTGACCCGGTCCCCATTTGCCAGCATTTGGCCCATATCCCTGTAAACCCTTCCTATTCATGTACCCATCCAGATGCATTTTAAATGTTGTAATTGTACCAGCCTCCACCACTTCCTCTGGCAGCTCGTTCCACACACGCACCACCCTCTGTTTGAAAAAGTTGCCCCTTAGGTCCCTTTATATCTTTGCCCTCTCACCTTAAACCTATGCTCCTCTAGTATTGGACTTCACCCACCCTGGGGTAAAAAACCTTGACTATTGACCCTAGCGTGATTTTATAAACATCTATAATGTCACCCCTCAGCCTCCGACGCTCCAGGGAAAATAACCCTAGCCGATTCAGCCTTTCTCTATAGCTCAAACCCTCCAGTCCTGGCAACATCCTTTTAATTCTTTCTCGTGCGCTGTCAAGTTTAAAAACATCCTGCCTGTAGCAGGGAGAATTGTACGCAGTATTCCAAAAGTGGCCTAACCAATGTCCTGTACAGCCACAACATGACCTCCCAACTCCTATACTCAATGCACAGACCAATGAAGGCCAGTGTACCAAATGCCTTCTTCACCGCCCTGTCTACCTGTGACTCCACTTTCAAGGAACTGTGTACGTGCAGCCCTGGATCTCTCTGTTTGGCAACGCTCCCCAGTAATTCAGGAGAAACCAGTTTACCCAGCGAGCAGTGAGAATGTGGAACTCGCTCCCACAGGGGCGGCTGAGCTGAATAGTGTCGATGTATTTAAGGGGAAACTGGATAAACACATGAAGGAGAAAGGCATGGAAGAAGATGATGAAGGGTAGGTTGGAGGAGACTCATGTAAATGGGCCAAATGGCCTGTTTGTATGCTGTAAAAGCTCTCTACTTACATCAGGGAATGGGGTATAAAAGTAGAAAGGTCTTGCTAAAATGTTGCAAGGCACCAGTCAGACCATAGCTGGAATGCAGTGAACAGTTTATCTAAGGAAAGATTTACCGGCATTGGAGGCAGTCTAGAGATGTCCACTAGTTGATCCTGGGAATGGAGGGACTGTCTTATGAGGAGAGACTGAATAGGTGGGCCTGTACCTGTTGGAGTTTAGAAGAATGAGAGGAGACTTTAGTGAAACATACAAGATTCTGAGGGGGACTTGACGGAGTAGATGTAGAGAGGTTGGTTCCCCTTGTGGGAGAGTCTAAGACCAAAGGGATATCATCTCAGAATAAGGAATTACACTCATTTTTTATTTTATTCAAAGGATGAGGGTGTTGCTGGCCTGGCCAGCATTTATTGCCCTAATTGTCCAGAGGGTAGTTAAGAGTCAACCACATTGCTGTGGGTCTGGAGTCACATGTAGGC